CACCCAGGGAAGACGGAGATCACTGGGGCAGGCAAGGGGAGGAGAGAGGATGGAAAGGGAGAGGAGAGAGAGAAGGAGAAAGGAGGGACAGAGCAGAGCAGAGGAGGGAGAGACACAGCTGCAGGGGACAGTGATGACAGAGCAAGGAGAAATTGCTGGTAAACATAAATAAACCAGGTGGGCTCTTCATGGCACGTCCCAGGGACGCCCGGCTCAGCCCATCCTGGGCTGCCGCAGCTCCTCCAAACGCCACTGGTTTTTCGGGAACAGCTCCTGACATTCCATAAAGTCCCCGGAAACTCCTGTTCCAGTCCAGATCTCCCCAGAGAGAGGCACCGTCCCCACTTACGTCGATGTAGTTGGCGTTGATGTAGTCCGAGTTGGGATCGCCCAGCAGCGGGTGCAGCTTCACTCGGTGACGGTCGTCTGGAGAGCAAGGGGAGAAGGGACCATCAGCACCCGGGGGGACGAGCACGGGGACGGCGTGGCGCCCCGCCGGGTCCCAGGGCTCCCAGACACCCTTTGCAATCGTTTGGCACCAGGAATCTTCAAACCGCAGGTGGGTGGGATGCATCCAGGAGCAATAAATAGAAGCTGGTGGAGGTCCTTCCAGAGATGGTGGCTTAGACCAGGAGGTCCATGGGGGAGCAGCTTTCAGCACGGTATCTCCCTGAGCTTTGCCTGGTCCTGTCAAAGCCACAGAGCACCCACCCTCCAGCACCCTGCTGCCCACTCCAGCACCAGAGCCCAGATGGGTGAGTGGAGAGCTCTCCCCAACCTCTGGTGTCCACCTGGGGCCCCGGACAGTGCTGGAGTGGAAGGGATGAAGCTGTGGATAAAGCTCCTCCATCTCCACATGGGAGGTGGAGAACCGCTAGAGGATCAGGTTTGGTGTCTCCATCCCTGCAGGAATATCACCGGAGATGTAGCAGTGAGCAAGTGACGAGCATCCTCTAAACGGTGGAGTCAAGCCTTTCCCCAATCTTCTGTCCTAAAACCTCATCATTTAACCCCTTTGTCTCACCCTGCACATCCACACCAGAAGGTCACTAGGACAAGGTTCCAGTTTCTCATAAGTCCACGCAAGAAAACATACTCCAGGTTATCTGGGGCTTTCCAGCACCACCCAGAAGACCATGGTGACCTTATCAATAATTTTCAAGCACCTCAAGATCTTCAAGAAAGAGTTCTCCAGCTCCAGAGGTCAACGCTTGGCCCAGCTCCATCCCTCCAACCTGCTCAAGTGGCCAATGCCCACAGGCTGGGACCCTCGCACTTTCCACTGCCTTTGACCACCCCAACCCCACCAGTTTATTCTTTGCCACAGACCATGCATCTACCAAAACAAAAAGTCCCAAAGCCCTTGAGAAGGTTTTTGAAGGTGTTCGGGGTGTCTAAGCCTTCGCTAAAGGCACTCACATGTCGACACATGATCCTGTCTCCCTTTGGTCTTGTCTTTCTTCTTCGAAGCATCCCAGCCTTCGAAGAAACTCTGTAAGGAAGGGACAGCTGTCACCACCCGAGGCCAGGACAGTGGGACACCCCAGGGTGCGGGAGGCAGACACCCCACTGGTCCACCCACCCCACCCTGGCAGCCCCAGCTCCATCGCACGCTCTGCCAGCGACACGCTTCTGCTGCGTCCACAAAATGCCCCATTTTCCAGCAAATTATAGACCGTTGTTTGGGTTTTTTTTCCAAGGTTGGCTGTTTTTTTCTCTCTCTCCAAAACCTCCCCAGTCCCTTTCTCTCCCCAGCACAGAACAGGTTTGCGTGTAATAACAGCAACATCCATAGATTGGCATAAAAGGAGGAAAGTGGAAGGAAATTACATGTTTTCTCCCCTCCCATAATATCTGAGTGCTTTCAAATGACTAGTTCCAAGAACACACGGCAGCTTTTCAAGGAGCACTAACGATTATGGCAAACCCCACTTTGGCCAATATGGAAAAGAGATGGGGGGAGAAGAGAAAAAAAAAAAAAGGCTCCTGCACTTGAAACAACTAAGCATTAAACAGTAATTTCACCAGGAAATTTCAATCGCCTGGACCTGAGGGACACCGAGGAGTTGGGAAATCAACCCTGTCGGGTGCACTGCGGCAGACACATGTGGTCCATTGAGGTGGGATGGGCACATCATGGCCAACGACCCATGGGGGTCCCCCCTCCCCTTGGGATCACCCTCTCTCAAGGGTCTCCACAGTCTTGGGAGGTGCTAGATTGTAGAGGATTTGCTCGTCCTTAGGCTATGGCCAAGCTCGCCACAGGACAAGCATGTTGGAGAGCAGAAGAACATGACGTCATGGTGCCCAGGAGGACCTGAGAAAGGGAGAAGCATCCCCAGCCCTTGCAGGAGAGATGGGATGATGCAGTGCAGGCAGGAGAGGTGTGGGCTGGCAGGGCTGCTTTGGCTCATCTCAGGGACCTTTTCAAGCTGACGACTAAATCCTGAGCTGCCAGGACCAGAGATTCAAGCCAGCCCCAAGGACACCCCACGTGCAGGCAATGCCTGCCCAGAGAGATGTGAGCTCTGGCTCCTGCTGTCCAGACCACCACAGCTCCGGGTCTGGAGTGTCTTCTCCTTGCACACGGGTCCTACCACCTTCCCAAAACATCAGCACAAGGTGCTCTCACCTCGTACTCCTGCTTGAAGCCGTAACCTTCTGCTGTCTTCATCTGGTTGATATGCTGGAGGAGATCGGCCACCCGCACAGCAGGATGGAGCTGCCCGGTGTGGTATGGGGACCCTTTGCGGCCGCACTGGCGGCGGGGGGAGCCCCCCAACAAGCTGCTGGACTCGTTGACCACACTGCTGCGCTGGTCACCTATAGAAGCGGAGAGAGAACCAGGGACTGTCACGGGAGCAAAGCTTTGGATGGTGTCCCCATCACCTTCTCATGCCCACAGAGGGACGAGAGGGCACCTGGAAACATCCCCAGAAGATGCTGGTACTGCAGCCAGTCTCGCTCTGGGGGCTGCAAGTGGTCCAGACCCCTCCATGCTCTCTGCAGCTATTCCTACACCACAAAGCTGAAAATACCCGTTACGGCTTCTTAGGACCACAGCAGATCTCTTAGAAATCAGTGGACAAGACCTTAAGGGGGTTAATAAGCTTATTTCCCATCAATTGGAGCAATTCACTCCCATCCTGACCAGTCAGAGCTTCGTGCCCCGATATAGACACAAAGTCCCGACTTGAAAAATCACGTTGCCAAAGTCTCCAGCCCAGCTCAACAGTTAATTCTGCTCACCGTTAGATACTGGCACCTTACTCCCAGCGCTGGCACGAATGGAGCTCACTGCTGGTTAACGGGGGACTTTACGCAGTGTTTACGCGCTCTGTGCCTCCGCCGTGTAATTACCAGCAGGATCAGACTAAGATCTCGCCTGGTTTTGTCAGGGCCAGGTCCCACACCGGGTCCCGAAACCTGGGTTTGCACAAAACCCGACGCTCTCCGCTGCTGCCAAGAGATGCGGCAGGCACGGATCCTGCAGCACCCAGCCTGGAACGTTGCCGGGAAGGAGCTTTGCAAGGCGGTGCATCCTGGACGTAGTTACTCCTAACAACACTTTAAAAAAAACGCCCTTGCTGGCTGGCTTGCAAAGCTCCCAGGCTTCTTTTCTTTCTTTCTTTCTTTCACTTGGGTCAGGGCAGTCCCAAGCACAAGTACAGGCTGGGTGAAGAATGGATGGAGAGCCTGGAGAAGAGAAGACTCTGGGGAGACCTTCCAGCAGCCTTCCAGTACCTAAAGGGGCTACAAGAAAGCTGGAGAGGGACTTTGGACAAGGGTGTGGAGTGACAGGACACGGGGCAATGGCTTTAAACTGAAAGAGGGGAGATTTCGATGAGATCTAAGGAAGAAATTCTTCACTCAGAGGGTGCTGAGACACTGGGCC